CAACAATGCTAGCAGATCAAATTCAACTGCTCAGTAACAGGATTACATACCATGACCAAGTTGAATTTATCCTAGGAAATCAAGGATAAGTAACACACAGAAACTATTCAATGAGACACACAATATTAACAGGAAAAAGAATAAAAATCAGATGACCTTCTCAATAAATGTTGAAAGATATTTGACAAAACAACATTTCATGATTGTAAAAGTCAGCAAATAAGGCCTAGAAGGAAATTACTACAATACATAACAAAAGCTATATGTAAAAAGCCAACTCAGTGGTGAAAATCTAAAACATTTTAAGATCAGAAACAAGGCAAGGATGCTGTTCTTGCCACTTCAGTCAACATAATACTAGTCATAACAATCAGCAGCAAAATATCATCAAAATCAGAAAGGAAGAAGTAAGATTATCTCTGTTCGCTAATGGTATTATCTCATATGTTGTGAACTCTAAGAGATCCTTATACTAATAATAACTGTTAAAACTAGCAAACTCAGAAAAATTGCAGGACTGAAAATCAACACCAAAAATACTTGTATCTCTGTATAGTAAAAATGTACCATCCAAAAAGGAAATTAATAAAACAGTCTTATTTAACACAGCATAAAAAGTAAAACAGGAATAAATTTAATCAAAAAAAGCAAAATACATGTACACTGAAAACCACAAATCAGTGCTGAAAAAAAATCAATGGAAAGATATCTCATGGTTATGGCTTCCAAGACTTATTACTGCAAAAAATATCAACACTAACCAAAGAGATCACAGAAGCAATGCAATTTTATATGAGAAACACAAAGTATAAATAATTTTTCACAACAAAATAAAAAATAATAAGAAACAAGAGAGAGATCTTTTGTGAATGGGAAGGGGATCTAAAGGTAGGGGCAGAGAAAGGGGAATAAATAAGAATTAAGATATGTTAAATACATGTATCTAGCACCTATGATGAATTACGAATGTAAATATTATGTACTACAAACACATAATAAAAATTGGAAAAACTAAATTAAATTAAAAATCCAGTTTCTTACTCCTACTATTGTTATATTTCAAGTATTCAAAATACACATATGGCTAATGGTTCCCATTTTGGGAAAAAAAGACATTTTTTCCTACAGAAATAAAAACTATCCTAAAATTCAGATTGAACTACAAAGGATTTTAGATAAACAAAACATCTTGAGAAACAAGAACTACACTGGAGGCCTTATACTTCTTGATGTCAAAACATCACAATGGCAATTTTATATGAGAAACAGAAAGTATAAATAATTTTAAAAAATAAAATAAAAGATAGACAATAGAAAATAGAGAGAGATCTTTTGCAAATGGGAAGGGGATCCAGAGGTGGGGGCAGGGAGAAGGGAGGGGAAGGGGAATAAAAAGAATTAGATATATTAAATACATGTATCTCCCCAGATGATGAACGTAAACATTCAACATGGTACTAACATAGAGGTCAGACTTATAGATCAAAGGAAGACAACAGAGGGTCCAAAAATAAACCCATGTGTATTTAATGGAATAATCTTTGACAAGGATATCAAGACTGCAAAATAAGTTAAGCATAGTCTCTTCAACACAATGTTTTGGAAAATTTGATATTCACATGCAAAGGAATAAATGGACCCTAATTTTATAACATACCCTAAAAGCAGCCCCAAATTGATTAAAGACTTAAAACACCTGAAACAACAAAATTGTTTGGAAAACACATGCATAAAGCCTCACATTGCTGATTTTTGATATGATTTCTTCCATATGACACAAGTAATAAAAGCAAGAGTAGGCAAGTAGGATTACATCAAACTAAAAAGCTTCTGTAACCAAACAAAGCAATCAACAGCACATAAAGGTAACTTACAGCATGGGAGAAAATATTTGTTCAGAATACATCTGATCAGGGTGTGATATTGTAAACATTAAGAAACTCTTACAAGTCAGTAACAAAAAACATATAATTCAAAAGGGGACAGATTTCATCCAATAGGGCAAGGGTCAAAGGGAGCAAGGAGAGGAGTGAGGAGGAGGAGGAGAAGGGGAAGTGAGAGGAATAAAGATGTGCCATGTGCAAGATCCTAATAACTCCAATCAGTGTAAACATTACATGCCATAACATAAGCTAAGACAAATAACATAAATAAGTACAAAAATAGTGATAGGGGAACCAGAGGAGGGGGAAGAGGGGAAGAGGATTAGGGAAAAAAAGGTGGAACATGTACATGTAACCACTCCCCAAGATGACTGTAAACTGCATGAATTGCAAATATGTACTAATAAAATAAAATAAAACTTTTAAAAATTCAAAAATGGACAAGGACATTGTACTCTATTAGTCAGGTTTCCCACTGCTGGACAAAATATTTGCCACACCTTAAAAGAGGAAAGGTTTAATTTAACTCATACTTTCAGGAGATTCCAGTCCACGGTTAGCAGGCTTCAAGGCAAAACCATCGCGGAAGGGCATAGTGGAACTAAACTAATAGTTCATGGCAGTCAGAAAGCAGACCAAGAGAACAGTGCCAGAGAGAAATGGGCAAGGACAGTACCCAAGCCCGTGCCTTCATGACCTAAACAGACATACATAGGAGCCTGTTCTATTAATCTGCTGGGCATTTCTTAACTCAATGAAGTTGAAATATCTGGATTAACAGTCACAGACTTGAATAAACATTTCTCCCAAGAAAGCTTACAAAAAGACAACAGATACATAAAATGATGCTCAACATCATTAATCATCAAGGAAATGCAAATGAGCTATCAGTTTATATCTGTGAGGTTGGTAATTAGAGAGATGGAGATGAAGATGGAGATGAAGAGGAAGAGGTAGAAGCAGAGCCAGAGGGAGAGAGAGAGAGGGAGAGAAAGAGGGAAGGAGGGAGGAAAAGAGGGAGGGAGGAGGGGGAGAGGGAGAAAGAAAGAGTGTATTGGTAGGAACATGGAGTAATTGGAATATTTGTACCTCTAGTGGTGAGAATACAAAATTGGACAGCTACTATAAAAAACATTATGGAGATTCTTCTAAAAATAAAAAATACAATTATCATAAAATCCAGCAATCCTACTTCTGGGTATCCATCCAAAAACTTGACAGGGTTTTTGCAGAGAGATTTGCACACCATGTTCATTACAACATTGTTAACAGAAGTCTAGATTCACATCCATAATCTAAAAGTCCATCAGCAGATGAATAAAGAAAATGTAAACTATCCCTAGAAAGGAATATTCTTCAGATTTACAAAAGAAGAAAATCTTGCCATATGTGAAAACATGGATGAACTAGGATCATTTTGCTAAGTGAAACAAGCTTGTCACAGAAAGACAAATACTGAATGACTCCACTCATATGAAATACCTAAAATTGTCAAACTTATAGATCAAGAAAGTAGAATAGCAGTTGTATGGAGATAGAAGGGGGAATATGGTAGTTGCTATTCAATAGGTATAGTTTTAGTCAAACAAGATGAAAAAAGTAGTAAGGATTTGCTGTGCTACAGTGTGTATGTAGTTAACTATGCACTTAAAATTTTGATAAAGGGTAGATTTTATGTTTTATGGGGTTTTTCCCACAATGAAAAAGAAAAAAATGACTCTAGATCCCTGGGTGAATATTTTAAAACAAATAGATTCTAGGGCTGGGGATTTAGCTCAGCGGTTTCACTGCCTGCTGCGCAAGCGCAAGGACCCGAGTTCAATCCCTGGTACCAAAAACAAACAAACAAACAAACAAAACCCAACTAGACTCTTATGGGTTTCAAGTTCAAGTAAAAGCTTATTTGTATTCAAGGGAAGAGCATTTAGGTTAACTTCTCAAGTCTTTCCCAATGCTTCTGTTTCCATGGTTACAGTTATTAGATCTAACACACTGTACATCCAACCAAATTGACAGACTGGAGGGTGGAAAATGGAGGCACAACTTTCTATCTGTCCAGTCTCTCAGGAAATACTGTCTGTCTCACTCTTCAATGTGAGCTAATCATGAGGCCCAATAAGAAAGGGTGCAGTGGGAAAACTCGAATTTAGCCCAGTACTACAGTAAAATCTGCTTTGATTTCTCAGTAGAAATAAAAGAAATAAAGAAAGTAAAACACAGTAAAGGACTATTAAGGAAGAAAACATCTGTCACCTTGGACAGAATAAAAGTCCCACCAAATGAAGTAAACGCCTTTGGGAAAAAGACATGTCATGCTAGCAAGTACTGTTGTTATTTCTTTCTTGCTCTTCATTTAGTTTCCATCCACTCAATGCACAAGACCTTACCCTATATCCTATTTTCTTACCCAGCAATGGAAGATGCATGAACTGAATTTAGCCTTTGGTTAGGACTTTATCAGAAAATGACTTCAAAATAAAAGTGTTTTACTTGGTACTATCTCAATGGCAAACACATACTTCCAAATGAAAGGCTTGATCTACTAGCAAGCATTTTCCTTGAGAAGGCAACAATATTGTTAGTTTTCAAACTGTTGACAGGCATGGGCATGCGTGCACGCACACACACACGCACACACACACACACACACACACACACACCTCTAAACAAGTCCCGTTCTGTCTGTTTTGAAACATAAGGTGAGTACCTCCTAGTAGAACTAAATGAAAACTTTGTTTAGTGAGATTTTACAATTTGAAAAGGGTCAGTAATGCCAGTTGATATTGAGAAATGCAGTTTTGATTTTCAATGTTTTAAAATATAATGTATTTTGTGAACCTAGAAATAAAATGTGTTTTAAGCCAATGGGATGGAATATAGTTAATTGCTAACATCCTTGTAACATTCCACAGAGTGCACAATAATAAGTATGAGAAGTAGCATGGCATATTTCTTTTAATTTATAATCATCTCTCAATGAAATCAAAGGAGTTTAATTTATGCATTTTCTAGTTGCAGAGTTCTTAATAAAATGGAGTATTACTATTATTATGCATTTTAAAGAATTTTTAAAATCAATAATATATTCAGTAAAAAAAATGAAAAAATAACACAAACCTTAAAGCAGTCAGCAGATCAGAAGAAAAGTATATTCTTTGGGAACGTGGTTGAAGCAAACTCATTAAAGTTTTTTAAATGAAAGCTGCTCACAAAAGAAGTCCCATGGAAGACAGTATGCCTTTGACATGCCAGACGCTTCTAGAAACAAAGAAAAGCACACCATTAGGGTATGTTCAAAGTACCATTACTGCCAGTCCCAGCCTAGAATTGTTAGCCTGTTGTTAATATTTGTTAATTATGTGCTCCAAATCTTTCTGTTTATAACTACAAGGTGAGGCATTAATCTTTCACCATTGTATTTAGAAACGACTAATGGCCAGAATTGTTTAGCAACTAAGCAAATGTCTATATTTCCCCTTACATATCCAGGCTGTGACAGAAGACCTGGGACAGCATAGGAGCACAGAGAAGCAAGGCTGTCTCCTGAGAACCTGCAGGTATGAGGTTTTGTACCAGGGGCTCCAGACAAATGGGCTCTTTGACCCAAACAACAGCCCTGCAGCCAGACAGTCCTGGCTCCATTTCACAGATAAGAAAAAATTTTGTACGGATAGTTGCCTCAGGCTTAGAAGCTGTGTCCTCTAACACTCAAAACCCTTAGGGCTAACTCTGTCACTCATTTCATTCCATGTCCTATGTGATTTAGAAGAATATTTAACAAACAGAATTGACAAGAGGACAAATAACACCACAATTTACTAAGTTAATTCAAACATTACTAAATTAACTGTGAAATTGTCTTTTCTAATTTACTTTTATACTAAATATTGCCTTAGGCCCACAGAAATATTGACACCCAGCTTTAAGCAATATATTTTTTCCTCCATTCTTCCTTAGGTAAAAAGAGCAAGGCTCTTGGAAACCAGTGGCTTTCTGGTGTGACGGTGCTGGTTTGTGTGCTTGCCTACATCAAGGACAGCAACTTCTCATCTTCCTCTGGCCTCTCCACATGACTCAGAGCTCTTTCACTGTCCCAGGGAAAGAATATTTGGTTTTTCTAATGCAATTAGGAACAGAACCCACATCCTCTGTGGATATCCCGGAGAATATGGCTGCATTTCTATGTCTTGGAACTTTTAGCTCATTTCCACACTGCACCTAGAAGTGCCTCAGAAAGGCTAGAAAATAATGGAACCTGGAAGGTAACACATAATTTTTCAAATTTTGCTTTTTTATTTTTAGCAGCTGAAGCTTAAGTCATAAATAAAGAAGCTGGGAGGGCGTGATTGATAGTATTTTTCAAGTTCTGTGGAACTGGAAGCCTGGGATGGTGACTTGGTTAAAAAAAAAAAAAGAACAATGACAGAGCTAGTTCACCTTTGCATGAAAGAAGGAAGAACAGCTTAATAAACAATGCAGGGGGAAGCCCTGGAACAGACTCTACCCTAAGTAATAGGGATGCAAAATAAATAGAAACCCTTCCTAAAATGTTCTAAACTAGCATTCTTTGTTCTACCTACCACTTACATACAAAGTTTAAGGTTCTACACCCAAACCAGCAGTTTTAGGGCCAGGGATTCAGCTCAGTGGTGCCACCGCCTGCTCCGCAAGCACAAGGACCAGAGTTCAATCCCCGGTACCAAAAAAACAAAAAACAAAAAACCAGCAGTTTTATTGGTCAAAAAATCCCAATGCTAATTTTAAGTATTTATTCAGCCACTTTTCATTGGACATTTGAGTCAGTCAATAATCAGAAAATTCCAGGAACACTGAAATAACCAAGACAGTCTTTCTTTTCAGGTAATTTACTGTCTCATAGAGAGATACAGCTAGAATGTCAACCAAAAGAGGGTGGTGCTAATGAGACTAAGGATGAGGCAGCATTCCTGCTTCTCACTTCCTAGCCATATGACCTTAGTCATTGTATTCAAATTCTCTCATCTCTGCTTTCTCATCTGTATATTTCCCTAGATGATGTTTTCAAAATTGAGTAAGACCACCTATATAAAGCATTTGGTGCACTGAGAGGGATATAACAAGATCTCATTGGATGTATGAGTGACATCTGCAAGGAAAAAGTACTTTGAGGATCATGAGGAGTTGGAATTCTCTCTGTTGGGGAATCAAGAAAGGTTCAGTGAGGAAAGTAGCATTTAAGAGAAACTATCAACAAACATGATAATGCTTTTACATTGTAGAAATCCTCTGATAACTGAAAAGCCAGAAAATTGAGTAGTTTATAATTTTAAAAAAGTAGGTCCATGAAATTACATACTATTTTCCAGGACTTAGTGTAAAAGTAGATAACAACACAGCCTGAGAATGACACAAAGGAGAAAAACTATATACTGCTACTAAGAAAGGTACAATATCCCATAGGATCCTGTTCTATTCTACAGTAATCCAAAATGACACCATGGCTTTCAATGGAACTTGGCAAGCTTACCATTTTTAAATTTAGCCTCAAGTTTAAATCACTGGGTGGGTTTATGACTCAAATCTTCAGTGTGACCTTTACTGGGAATTGTTCAAGAAAACATGTCTGTCACTGTAGAGAGAAACCATGTACCCTTTTACTTTGGAAAATATAATAAAAGATGTATTGTTACAAGCATAGAGTGACAAAATGGTTGTGGCTATGGGTCTTTAGAAGCAATAAAAAAAAGACTTATTTTGTATCATTTGTTTAGAAATGTTAACTTATCACATTAATGAACCTTTCTATTCCTCCCATATTCTGGACTTTAACTCAAAAAAAGTTTGGCAGGTTCGCCACCTGCTGCACAAGTGCAAGGACCCGAGTTTGATCCCCAGCACCAAAAAAAAAAAAAAGAAAAAAAGAAAAAAATAGTTTGTCAGGAATCTCATTATTTATAGATTTAAAATATAATTCCTCCAAATATAACTCTTTTTCAAAGGCTTACTGAGCCACACTACTTTGTCCTTGCAAGATTCACATAATACCGTACTGAACAGAAGAGCAAAAAGAACACGGCAGTTTCAATTCTTCACACCCTCCCTACTTCCTAGCCCTGGGTGTCCACTGCAGGACAGTGCTATAGTTTGCACGTGTTCCTTGCCAATGTGATAGTAATAAGAGGTGGGCATCTGAGAGCTGACTGGGCCATGAGGACTCCTTCCTTGAGATTGAGGCCCTTATGAAATTGTTGCTACCTTTTGGTATCTGGCTTTTCTGCCTACTGCCATGTGAGGATGCAAAATTCCTTCCTTGCAAAGGAAGGAATTTAGATCCAGGGAGCTGCCCTCACCAGAAAGCTAAGCCTACTAATATCTTAATCTTGGACTTTTCAACCTGTAAGAAGTTAAGAAAACAAATTTCTCTTCTTTATAAATTACCTACACTGTAGTATTTTTTTACTGCAGCATCAATATGGTAAGACAGAAATTGTTATCAGAGGAGTGAGGTGTTATTATAATAGCTGAAAATGTATAAGCAGCTTTGGAACTGGTAGTGGGTAGAGGCTAGAAGAGTTTTGATGTGAATACTGTGAAAAGCTGGTACTGCCATGAATGGACCACTCAGAACAATTTCAGTGAGGGCTCAGAGGAAGAGAAAAGCTATAGGAACAGCCTCAGTCTTCTTAGTGATCATCCAAGTGTTTGTGGTCATGATGCTGATTAAAATAACAGGAGTAAAGATTATTCTGATGAGGTCTCAGCTGGGAACAAAAAACAAAGTATTAAAAACTGCAGAAAGGGAGGGCCATCCTTGTTGTAAATTGGCAAAGAACTTGTCCTAGGACTTTCTAGAAGGCAGAACTAAAGAGTGAAGAACTAGGATATTCAGTGGAAGAAATCTCTAAGCAGCAAAGTATTTAGGGTGCTACTGGCTCTTCTTAAATGTGAGAAGAGAAAAGCAAAACTTAACAATTTGGAAAATTCTCAGCTGACCATGTAATGAATAAAATAGCTTAATATTTATGAAGGAAAACTAAGGGTGCAGCCATGTGGCCTTTGGATGAGGAGGTGAGTATGAAGAGCAGGACACCTGGCACCACTCATCAAGACAATGGGAGAATGGGCTGGGGATTTAGCTCAGTGGTTCTGCCGCCTGCCCCGAAAGCACAAGGACCGGAGTTCGATCCCTGGTACCAAAACACAAAACAAAACAAGACAATGGGAGAATGACTCAAAGGCATGTCAGACATCTTCAGGGATGCCTTGGCCATAATTGGCTAATGTGCCTCAGTTTCAAAGGTGCCTTGAGTTTTATTTAGATGAGACTCTCGACTATAGGCTTTTGAGTTGATGCTAGGACAAATTAAGACTTTTAGGGTAATGGGATGGAATGAATGTATTTTGCATTCAAGAAAACATGAATTTCATGGAGGACTAAGAGCAGAATGCAACTGTTTGATGGTGCTCTCAAAGTGATGGTATTGAGAAGGCTATGAAAGCTCTTCCCTCATTAATGGAATTAAGGTCCTGATAAATGAGGCTTATCACAGTCTGCAGGCAGCTCACTTTTCTGCTTTCCTCCATGTGAGGACATACTAGTCCTCACTTCCACAAGAACCTTCATTGAAGCAGAAAATATCCCTTACCAAACAACTGAACCCACCAGCACCTTGATCTGAGATTTCCCAGTTGTTAGAACTAGGAGAAAATAAATCTGTATTCTGTAAAAATTACCCAGTCTATGTTATTTTGTTACAGCATCATGAAAGTACAAAGACAGCAAACCTGCAAAAGAGAATGGTATCATCATTCCTTTCTCTTCCTTCTTTATCCTTTTCACTAAATTGTGAAATTCTTTCCAGTCATTCTAACTCATGGGATCACATTTTATGTACTATCAGTAACTTTTAGTAGGCTCTACTTATAGTTTATCCTGAAAAAAAGTTAGAAGACTTGTCATCCTATCAGAATTGTCATCCTATCTATAACGGTGATAAATATCCGAATAGAAAATAAATGGGCACACAGAGAATTTTTAAAATGTGACTTTAATTACATACTTTTATCACTCAAGAACCTACAGGGTTTCTCTGTTTTCTCAAGAATCAGATTTAAGTTCATCATCAGGAATATCTGTGCCCAGGCTGGGGATTTAGCTCAGTGGTTCAGCTGCTTGCCTTGAAAGCGCAAAGTTCAGAGTTTGATCCCGGGTACCAAAATAAATAAATAAATAAATAAATTTTAAAAAATAAACAAGGAATATCTGTTCTCATCATCCT